CATGGGCTTGTGTAAATAAACTATTTTTAAAATACTTCATGATATTTATTATCTAAATTGTTTATACAGTGTATCTCACTGCCCAGGGCATTCGGTAAAGGTTTAATTTTATACATGTGTTAGCCCCTCTCATACCCAGGAACAAAAAAAAATAAATATAAGTTCACTGTAGAATTTTTCAAATAAATCTTTATTTTTATCTATAAAATAAAACTCAAGTATATGCAATTGAAATGTATTTATTACATTTGTCAAAGTAATTGAAAGTATTCGTTGAGCTCCAATTTTCGTGGATTTCGTGGTTGAGCAGATCCACGACTTCAAATGTTTATTGAATTACGAAATATGGCATGAATTCGTCTGGGCAATGCTTTTGACCACGAAATTACGTATCCTCAAAAACGTCTGTATTTCAAAATCCACGAAAATTTATGCCAACGAAAATTGATGAAACCACAGTAACTAATTACAATTGAAAAAATCAATGTAATTGTAATTGCAATTAATTGACAAAATTATCAATGAATTTTAAAGTGATTAATAACATTTTAAAGTAATTAACCCCAAGGCTGATCCTCAGGTAGTATAGACTCAAATTTGTTCAAATCATGACCCCTGTTCCAGAATGGGCTACAATGGCCTATCAAAGTTTTACTTGGAGTATATAGGAAAAACCTTTAAAAATCTTCTCCTCAAGAACCTCTGGGCTAGGAAAGATAAAAGTCATTTGGAAGCATCCTCAGGTAGTGTAGATTCAAGTTTAATCAAACCATGGCCCCTGGGGGTAGGGTGGGGCGACAATGGCCAAACAAAGTTTTACCTGGGAATATATAGGAATAAAATTTTTAAATTTTTTTTCTCAAGAACCGCTGGGCGAGGTAAGATGAAGCTCACGTGGAATCATCCTCAGGTAGTGTAAATTTGTTCAAGTTTGTTCAAATCATGAACCACAATGCAAGTATGGGGCCACAATTGCTGATCAAAGTTTTACATAGGAATATATAGGAAACATTTTTTAAAAAATCTTTTTAGTGATATTTATATGGAATCATCTGCAGGTAGAGAAGATTTTAGTTTGTTCAAATCATAACCCCGTGTGATAGGGTAGGGCCACAATGGAGGATTCCAAATTTACATTTTAATATATTTTTAAATAATTATCTTCTTCTCAAGAATAGCAAAGCCATGAGTAGTAATACTTATATTTATATGGAAGCATTTTCAGGGAGTGTAAATTCAAGTTTGTTCAAATCATAACGTCCATATCAGTGAAACATTCTGGAGAAGGACGTTAAACAGTATACAATCAATCAATCAATCAATCAAATCAATACCCCAAGGGTAGGGTGGGGCCACAATGGTGGATCAAAGATTAACATACAAAAATATAAGGAAAAATCCAAAGAACAGAAAAGCTATGTTTAATCATATTAACATGTAAGCATCCTCATGTATTGAGGATTTATATTTGTTCCAAATCATGACCCACTGGGGTAGGGAGGGGAAAAAATTTCAATTATTACGTAGTTATATATAAGACAAAATGTTTTAAACATCTTTTTATCAATTACAACAAAGTCAAATGCTGTATTAATATGAAGGCATTCTCAAATAGTATTAAAATTCAAGCCCCACCCCCCTTTTGTAAGCTTTTCACTTCTGATCTCGTGGTTTTCTCGCGGACTGGCTCTTAAGAACAGCAAAGTCATGATTGCTCTTACTTATATGAGGGTATCCTAAGGTAGTGTAGATTAAAGTTTCTTCAAATCTTGACCGGAGCCACAAGGGACGATTTCATTTTTACATATTAATATATAGGGAAATTCTTTTAAAATTTTCTCAAGAACAGCAAAGCAATGTTTGGTCATATTTATATAAGAATGCATCCTCAGAGAGTGTAGATTCAAATCTGTTCAAATCATTACCCCTGGGTAGGGTTGACCACGAAGGAATGTCAAAGTTTTACAGTGTAATTTAAAGGATTTTTTTCACAAACACAGCAAAACCATGACTACCGTACTCATATTTACATTGAAGCATCCTCAGGTAGTGTAGATTTAATTTTGTTCCAAGCATCACGGTCGGGGGATGGGGGCACAAACTTAAAGGGTAAAAAAAAACCATAGTTACGAGGGTGGTTAAAAAAGTTCGCGGACACATTGAATAACGGAAAATCTGTTGTGTACTGTGAAGTATGAGCTATGTCTGAATAAATTCCTACATTTTGTTTTTTGGTATGTAAAAAATCAGGTCCATATTATAAAATATTGAAAATTTACAACGATTTTCATTATGAGGTCATGGGATTCACGGAGCAATCACTTGACGTAAGGCGACGCGACAACCAGATTTCAACCCGTTAAGCTTTGTCTCAGTTCTTTAAATCTTTCATTTCTTCAGATATTTGTTATCTTTTTTCTACGTTAAAATTAAATATCTATAAAGATATGTTACTTTTCCTCTATAATGTCTTTTGTACTGATTTGGATATTATTGAGATCTTTAAAAAAGTCTATGCAGTTAATTGAACAGGTATGGAAACTATGCAAAACCCTATAGGCGCAACACAACGTCCATGCGATACGGGAGTATTGATTTTCAGAAGTAACGGTGGAGGTAATCATTCAAAATCTTAATCCTTTCATTCTTTTGAAGCTACAACCATTTAAAAACTTGTCCATAGTAGGTGTAAAAAAAATTAGGCAGCATCTTGGAACATTTTAATCTCTTTTTAGACATTTTCCAGTCTGCATTCACAATTTTAGGTATAGTACAGTGCTCCATGACGCTCAATGACATTCCGATTTTTTACTGTGTTTTTAAGCATTGATCATTTATAAACGGCTATAAAACAGACATATACCCTCCAATTTAGTTCAAAATGTCTCCAACTGACGTTGCATAAATACTTTAGCGGCAGGTAAAATATCATAAATCTTTTTGCACTACAATTGTTCAATTTTAAATTTTAATAAAGAATCTTTGTGATGTAAACGTGCCAAAATGTAGCATGCTCCGTGAAGCAATTTTTTTTCAGAATAAAAAAGCTGCATATTTTTCAATTATCACTGAAGAGCACCAAATGCTTGTATATTTATTGGCAAAAGGGTGAAAATTTTATCTGGAAAGTTTGATTGGTTTTGTTGAAATAGCGCGCTCACAATAGAACTTGTCCACGAACTTTTCTAACTCCCCTCGTAGTCAAAGAAAATTGCAGTCATCTTTGTTAGTTTAAATTTAAGTGTAGAGAAAATTCGTTAGTCCCCTCGATTAGCCACATTGGTCAAGTGAGCGTTGTGTTCATAGGCCTCTTGTATTACATTCTCATCGTTATAATGCTAGAGTATTAATCCCTAATTCTTTTAACTTTTATCCTCAAAATCTTTCTTTTTTTTAAATCTAAGGTCACTATTGAGAATTCTGCACTAAAATGAAAAAAATGTAAAGAAAAGTGAGATACTCGATCTTTATTTTAAAAAATTAATTATCAAAAACATTTAGAACTACTGTAAAAATGTTTATGGGTTTTTTATGATAACGAAATGAGTGTTTAAAGAGATGTTTGTCATGTTGAACAGTATCTGTGCACACTGAAACCAAACAAAAAAATCTGAAGTATGATAAGCTATCAAAAATGAAGCATTCTCGCAAATTCGACGAAATATTATTAACAAAGAACTGGTCGGGAAAAGAACACGATATTCTTATGCAAATTATAAAGGACTGACGTTTACGTTGGATATGCGCATGTGCGCGGGAAAAGCATCACGGGAATCATTAGGTCGAGGAAACTATTTTTGTGACGTCTGTTCAGCGAGGGACCAACAAGACTGAAAAATCGACCAATCAGCTCAATGAGTTGCATTTAATCCATTTATGGGTTTCTACTCAGTATACATATACATGTACTACATGTATTTTTCGAACAGGCTAGTTTTTTTTTAAAATCGCTCTCGGAAAAACGTGGTGCATAATAAGCATTTACACGCTTAATGCATTATGTACAATATTATCTACTAATCCCGTGCTTACATTTGCATACAATTTAACAATGATAAAATAAGAGTTTCTCCCCCTCTCTGTTTGTTTACAGTAACTGTTTCCCCGTGCTGTAATGACAGCGAAAATACAATTTCACGTGACTATATATTCCTCGGTACAAAAATCAACCAACTCTGAGGTGTGATCACGTATTTACAATGTTTACAATTGTGTACCACTTCGAAACATACAGTATGCTACTCAATACACGTCCTACGATCAATGCACAAAAGAATTAATATAGAGGTAATTTTCAATTAAACCGTGAAATTAGACTCTGTTCCTTCTATTTTTCTAGAAAGGGTTCTTTAAAATGTACATTGCTTTTCAAGCCCTAATTTGAAATCGAATCGTACATTTTCCTAACCCACATGTTTGTAGTCAAAACGTAGTAGACCATTATTCTTTTCGGCTAATTCACGAAATTGGACCATTGTTTGCTGTGAGAATGCGAGACCACGTGTTCATGAATATTCCAGTAAGAGACAGGTTAAGATCCGACTCGGAGAGAAAATAATTTTTACAAAATAATATTTCATAACTTTAAGTGATTGAGTAAAATTGTCTTAATTGCAGATATTACATAACTTATTTAACTTGATGAGACACCACATATATTTATTTCTTTAGCAATAAAACACTGATACGGCATATATATCTTTCAAGTTCAATAAGTTTATTTATTATTAAGGCAGTTGATAGGATTTGGGGCAATAAGACGAACACCAATTCCACTATTTGTGCACAAAATTAGTTAAAGCCTTAGATTAACGAAGAAACTATGGCAAAAAAATCTATATATGCCAATGTCAAATTAAAATGGGAGTCGTCGCCACATTCCTTAGATTCCATATTCTTATGATTTTAGTGGTACGAGTAATAGTTTAATTAGCTGCAGAACTTTAGCATTATCGTTTGATAAATGAATGCTTTTCTTTTTTTTTTACTTTTGACTAAAGGCAGGGATTGATGACGACAGACTTGTGATAGCATTAGAACCAGAAGCAGCAGCGATGTACAGCAATTTGGTGGCAATTAGAAATCAAAAAAGTGACATCAGATTGACCAGTGGAACAAAATATATAGTTTGTGATGCAGGCGGTAAGAGAAATTTAAGTGTATTTTTATTGAAATCTCAGTACGAGCAATTGAGCAATTTTTCTTCTCCTTTTGTAAAAAATATAAATCATAGGATACCAAAAAAAAATCCAATCGATATTTTTCCTGTCAGGAATTCCTATAGAAAAATGTATCAACTATGGAATTCGTGCTTGTTCATAAAGAATAAAATAATCTTGGGAAGAATTTAGAAGAACTACAGGATTTTTTTGTTGTTCTCCTAGAGAAATTTATATATTCCACTATATGTACATTTAAGGCATCCAGTTCTGAAAATTCAACAAAAATTAAGTTAGAGAATAAGATTATTTTCAGACATATGTACGTGTAGTTTGAAACATACATTCTAAAATTTTTGGGTCAGCTGGGTAAACTCAGGTGCCCTATTGCTATCCGTTTCCGTCTGTCGTCGTGCGTCGTTCGTTTTGCGACATGCGTTAACATTTGAATATTTTCAGCTTCTCTGAAACCACTGAAAGAATTTCAATCAATTTTGGCATATACAATCTGTAGGTGAAGGGGAACAATTTTTTTTAATTTAATGGTCCCTGCCCCCCTGGGGCATGGGGATGGGCCAAAACAGATAAGATTAATGCAATCTTTAAATATCTGCTTCTTTACGCCTGGATATTACGCAGTCAAACTGTTGGTATGATTGAAATCAGCATTGAGTCCACTACCAAAATTGTAAAATTCTTGGTCCCAGGATCAGGAATTCTAGTGCTAGGGCTATGCCATATGATTTATATAGTGAAAATGCATAAATTATATAAAATTCTTCTTCTATGCTCCTGGGCATTAAATAAACTAATCAAGTGTATAGTTATGTTGCAAATGACAGCCTCTTTCAAAATTATGAATTCCATATGGTCCAAGGGCTAGGGGTTCTAGATCTAAGTTGGGGCTATATAGATTATATTGTGAAAATGCATACATTCTTTGAAATTCTTCGTCTCTGTTCCTGGACATAAAATATACTAAGTAAATGCATAGTTCTCTTGAATAAGGCTGCCTCTTCCAAAATTGTGAATTTCATGGCCCCAGGGTTAGGGGTTCTAGTGTTAGGGAGGGGCTATATAGATTATGCAGTGAAAATGAAGTATTTATTTGAAAATTTTCTTCTCTGCTCTTGAGTATTAAATAAACTAACCAAGAAGATAGTAATGTTGAATAACGCTGTATATTTCAAAATTGTGAATTTCATGGCCCAAGGGTTCTGGTGTTAGGGTGGGGCTCTACTAATTAAACTGTATAAATTCATTAAAAATCCTCTTTTCACGAGGGTATTAAACCAATGTACTGTGTACTACATAGTTATGAGGAGGAAGGATGCCTCTTTGAGATTTGTGAATTTCAGGCTCCCTTGGTCAAAGCTTTTTGTAGTAGGGCGGGACTCTTATGTTTATATAGTAAAAACGCATGAACTCTTTGAAAATCTCTCTTTTGCTCCTTGTTATTATTCCAATGACCTAAGTACATATTTATAACATAAGCAGCTGCCTCTTCCAAAATGGTAAATAATTTCCGGACCCTTGAGACAGAGATAATTGGGGGGGGGGCATAGTCTGAAAATAATCTAATGAATTGAAATCTGCACTTTGGTATTAAACAACAACATGATGAAATAAAATTTCCAAAATTTTTTGTCAGTTGTTCCTTTGGGATGGGGTGCACAACTGATAAAGTGGAAGTGCATTTTCTCTTTGTTACTCTGATCAACCTCTGGGTATTATGGATTCAAAGTAGTCAACAACATAATGAAATAAAATTTCCAAAATTTTTGGGTCAGTTGTTCCTGTGAGGTAGGGTGCACAACTGATAGAGTGGAAGTGAATTTTCTCTTTGTTACTCAGATCTACCTCTTGGTATTATGGAACCAAAGTAAGCATGCCAAGAGTATTGTTATGATAAGCAATGGTGCCTCTTTCAAAAGTGTAAATTTCAAGGCATCTGGTTTAAAACAGGAATCAAATTCAATTGTGGAAAGTTGTTACATGATACTCAGGTGACCTATGAGGCCCATGGGCATTTTCTTTTCTTTCTGTTATACAAATTAAAGTTGTGATTGATTATAGATCAGATAGCAAAGAAAATTCAAGTCTTGAGCTATTTTAAAGTCGCTTGCAGTGATATTGGAAACATAAAAATATTACATGTACATGTTTTCAGAAAATTAGGGAAAATATTTTTTTCTTTTTTGTAGATGTGTTGTGGTGTGATATTAACAAAAATCATAGTGATTTTATTTTTTTTTAAAAAAAAAAAAAGGGAGGAGAGGGGAGGATCAGCTAAAGATCGATTATGAATTTTTGTAGTATTTATATATGTGGTACTATATTTAAAGACTCCTATACCTTGCGAAAACATTCTTTGTCTAGAAAGGTTTTACTTAAATCTTAGATTATTATGACGATTTTTGGATAAAATTATATCGTTCAATTATATTTTTGGGGATTTTAAGCATAAAAACATAATTTTTATATTGATTTCAAAAAATGTGCCCTTAAATATGCAAAAATCAATGCGTTCTTAATTTTGAGATGGGCTATATGCAATAAAGTTAATTTATCAAATAATTTGGAAAATATTCTGAAATCTTTTTATTATAAACAAAACAAAGTCTTCCAATGTATACAGAATTTGGGTACACTGAGATATCAGAATGAAAAGAATAATTGATTGAATGATTGTATATATTTTTAGTGTACCTCTCGAGAATTTTTCACTCATATGGAGACTTTACCGTATGTCGGTGAAGAGCTTCAAAATTTACCTTTACTCGGCACTCAGGATCATTAAGCAGTGAGGGATCTTTATCGTGCCAAATCCTGCCGCTGACAAGGGGCCTCGGTTTTTAAGGTCTCATCCGAATTCGAAGGACCCACAACTTTCACTGCAATGTGCTGAGTGCATGGCAAAGGAACAGTTGCTACAGTCTCTGAAACGTTCTACTTTTCCACTTAAATGGTGAATGAACGCTGAACGAACGGTGAGAGAACGGTGAACGAACGCAGAACGAATGGTGAGTGTACGATGTGCGAACGCTGATCACAACTTGGTAAACGATGTGCAAACGGTGAACGGTGAGTGAACGTACAACGCGAACAGAGCGCGAACACCAGCGCAAAGTGAACGGTGAACGAACGTTGAACGCAAGATGAACGATTTATTCGGAAAGCCCCCAATCTTTTCCTTGCATTGAAATTATTCTATTCTTCTATAATTCTAATTTCATGTGCTTTAATATAAATAAAAAATAAATAAATAAATAAATCATAATTTTTTCTGTACATATATGTACATGTATCTATGTTTTAAATTATTGTTTTACAACACGATTTTAATTGCTATGAAACAAGTGCATTTGTTACCGAACGCGTGTAGTTTATACAAGGGCTGTTCGGAAATTATTGAGACAATTACATTTACTCCATAAAGGACGGAGATAATTTCATAAAAATTCATCAACATTTTATAGAGAACGAATAAGACTCTTATGCAACATTTTTAATTCCTATGATAATAAGAACAGTTTTGGTGAAATGATAAAGATGCATTTGTTTATCGACCCGGAGCAGCATCGCTACGTCATTTAACGTCACGTCAGCCGGAGATGATTTTGCATGTTAAACGATCGGGAAACATGTATACTTTTCCTTCTTTGTAATTACATATAACTGTACAAAAATCAAACAGTCTATTTTCTTAAACTTCCTTAAAAATGAATGCTGTTTCTACCTGAGTGTAAAAGTTTCATTTGTGGAAAAAGATGACTTAAAATCATGCAGTGCCGATTTATGCAACGCAGGTCAACGATCCTAATACCGTCACAACATTCATACCGTACGTTATAACTGATGGTCGTCCAGAGCGTTTGATTTTACTCTGGTTGAATTAATTGTAAAAAAAAAAATGTATACCAATGAAATAACAAACCCTAACTCTTTAATTTTACTCGCTGTTATTGTTTTAGCAGGTCGTTGAGTCTGAAAAAAAATTCTACATTGCGCTACACAAAATTTTAGGTATGTTCGCTGCTCCGCCCTTGACGTCAAAATCTTAGCAGATTTCTCTACCGCGCTTAATTTTTTTATGATCTCTATATTCCTGATTAAAATTCTAACAAATTTGCACAACATGAATTTGAATTACAGCTGAAAAATTATACACATCAACAGAATTATTTTCGCTCTTATTATTGGTCCACGAAGAGTTAGAACGTCGGTGTTACATATTTTCAATATCTGATTTCGGGACTGCTCCGGGTACCCCTACTGATGACGCATTTTTATACCATTGTACAGAAAATATTTATTATTTGTAAACTATTTTTGCTTATATTGAATCTTAATGTATGTCAAACGTATATGCAAAATTTCACTGAAAGACGTTCATTAGAAATTAAGCAAACTATACACAATGTCTCAATAATTTTCGAACAGCCCTCGTATATAAAATGAATCTATTTGTATAGTAAATATGCTTAATCTTTTTACTTATAGAAAATGTGGACTTTAGAAGATAAAACTACTACTTAAAGAACGAATTAATTACATTGTAAGCGGTTTAAACAACGATATATGCATTTCCGTGCCAAGACGATTCTGAGTAAAATAACAGATTTTTTTTTTAATTCACAATTACCTGTTGACGCATAGCATAAAATACTCTCTTTTTTTAATTCTAAATAAATGCAAAAACTATCTTTATGTGTCTTTTGTATTTTTTTATGATGATTATTTTAGCTAATTTCTACATGAATACACCCTCAATTCTCAGATTTTTTTTTATTTTTATTTAATTTTATTTTTTTAATTCACAATTGCCTGTTTACGTATTGCATAAAAATTTTGTTTTATATAAAAAAAAATCAGACATTTCTCGGCCGTGATTATACTCGGTCAAGATGATGGAAAGAGGCGTTCAAATTATTCGTAATAGATTAAATTTTCAAAGCTAAATAAGTAATGTGCGGTCATAATTTTTATTGAATAGAGAAATTTAAGAGAGAGAGATGGAGAGAGAAAGAGAGACCCCCTCAATTCTCAGATATCTGTTGTATCAAATAAAAATTCTTATTATTTTTCCTAAATATTCCAAGCTGTAAAGGTAATATTTTTTTTAAGTTCACGAATCCGTTTGACAGTAATCATTGTTTTTTCTTCCCTCATCAACTTCACACGGTTTTCAGGAAGTCCAGGGGTTTGTGCTGTCAATCAAATTAATTCGATTAAGTGGAGGTGTGGAAATTGCGTTTCTCCGAACATGCCGAAGGCAAAGACTCACCTAGTATTTCCAAGAAGTTTTGATATTTTTAATTATCATTTCTAGATATAATTTTGCATGACTGCAGAAAAAATTAATAAATAATGCAAAATTATACAACTACTTGGAAGGATTAAGTTTTTAACTGAATTTGAAACGTACCGAGTATTCTCTGACAATTTAAAATTCAACTGTCGGCATAAGTGTATTCTAAAATACTATTGTTTAATGATGATTTGAAGTTGGGTTTAAGACGATTTTCATCTGTTACAATACAAATGAAAGATAAATTTAAATATTTTAAAATATACTGAAAATACTCACTTAGAATTTCTTCGGGAGAAAAGACAAAAGAGGGGGGGGGGGGGCGATAATACTGAACGGCAAGCTATTTAGGTACGGTGAAGGAAGGAATTTTCCTTCTCTAATAAGTCTATTTAAACAGTTGGTTTTTTCTAAAAATAATTTAATTTAAAATCACACTATCAATTTAATTAGCTCTAAAGATATTTAATCAACTGAATATTTGCAGTACTGTTAATAATTCTCAGACCAGTGTAATTTTAGATACATGTTACTGTAGAAATAATTATTTTGTGCATTCTTGTCTTGTAAAAGACTTGTATTGATTATTATACATCCATTAATGATGTGTCGACTCTAATAGTACAATAAATTGTTTCCGTGCGTAATGCATTTGCACATTGCCCTTTTTTAAATTCAATATTTAAGAATCCTTGCACATACATGTCGGAACTTAATGTATTATTTTTCCAGGGAAATTTCATGAATAAAGTGACCGCTAATTTATAATGATAGAAATGTAAATACCATACATAATTATTGCAATGAAATAATTATTCTTCAAACACGATATTTAAACAAGTTATATAATTAAAAACATGTAAATCCTTACCATCAAAAAGATAAGTCCTTTCTCTTCGGTGTTCCAAACGACAATGAAGCGGAACGATAAGTGAACGGTGAACGCAAGGTGAATGCAAAGTAAACGGACGAAGAGCGAACGGTGAACGTATTGTGAATGGTGAACGCGAGCGCACGATGAACGGTAAACGCAATTCTATGAACGGAGAGCGAACGGTAAACGCACGCTGAACAAACGGTGAACGGTCGCTGAACGAACATAAAAATGGGAAAGTAGAACGTTTCAGGGACTGTACCCTTTTTTCATCGACGTAGGCCAGTAAATTCTTTCCTATGAAATTTTTACCAAAAATTCATATTTAAAGTACACTTTTAATAACTAGTAGTAAACATTCTTCAATGTATCAAAAATTTAAACATATTTAATTAAAAAAATAGGCATTGGATTATAATTGTTAAAATTTATATGTAGGTGGAACGGTGGATATAACTGTTCATGAAATGATAGATGATGAAGGACACGTGCGCGAACTTTACAAAGCTTCTGGGGGTAACTGGGGAGGCACAAGTGTGGATGAGGAACTTCTACAACTCTATGAAAAAATAGTAGGAAAAGACGTAATGGCGGAATTTAAATACAAATATCCAGAAGATGCACTTGAGATGGCAAGAGAATTAGAAACCAAGAAAAGATCCTTCTCGTCGAATGTCGACAGAGTTTCATTTCCTCTGCCACTTTCTATGATGCAATTATTTAAAAAGAAAACGGGAAAGCGTTTGTCAATGACTGTAATTCATTCAAATAGCCTAGAAAAGTACATGGCTATCAATGGAGATAAAATTCGTGTTACAGGAAGTTATATTCGTACATGTTTCGACAGATCTATTGAAAAGATTTGTGAGCACTTGAAAAAGATCCTTAAAAATCTAAGTGCAGATGATGTTGGCTTAATACTTCTTGTTGGGGGGTACGCCGAATCTTCCATTCTTCAAAGTGCTCTTTTAAGCACTTTTCCTTCTAAGAAATTGCTTGTGCCAAAGGAAGCAGGGCTGTCGGTTTTGAAAGGTGCAGTCATTTTTGGGCACAATCCTTATCTAATTCTTGAGAGAAAAGCAAAATATACCTACGGCATAAAGTGTAGAGAACCTTTTGTCGATGGTAAACACAGGCAAGATTACAAAGTACAAGACAAAGATGAAATATGGTGTGCAAATGTATTTAGCCGTCATGTTACAATTGGTGACACATTAATCGCTGGGAAAACACAATCCACGAAAACGTACACTAAGCAAAAAAATGCGAATTCTGCACACATTGCTGTATATGCAAGTTTAGAGGAAAATCCAATGTATATAACGGATGCAGGGTGTTTTTATTTAGGTGGAAAAATTTTAGAATTTGAAAATGGAAGAGCCTTAGGTGCAAGCTGTCTTGAAGTGCAAATGGCTTTTGGAGGGACAGAGATTGAATTGACAATGACATGTAAAGTAACTGGACGAGTTACAAAACTTCATCTTGAAAATGATAGACAATGAAATTGATTTTTCATAAAAGATATATTCAGAACTTTGAAAAAAACACGGTCCACACAAGTAGGTTTAAAAAACTGATTAGACGGGTTAATGATATAAAAAATGATGATCATCTAGTCTAATGGTTTTGTAAAAACAATTGGGAAAAAAGTTGAATTATACAAGAAGGTCTTCAATCACAAGGTTGAGTCATTCGTGAACAAACTTCTTCTCAAGTATGTGTAATAAGAAAGATCTAATTTCTAAAAGGGATTGAGAAATTGGATTGAATTTGAATTATTCCCTTATAGAGTTTGATTTATTATTTTTTTTTATATAATACATTTATTCAAATACAAGTCAGGGTTTTACATTACCCCTACAACCCAACCTGACTAGGGGGTATGGGGTGTGATAACTTATGTCACATTCACTCACCCATATATACAGATAGACATTCACTCAAAAGGCAGAAGAAAAGAGAAGGAGAGGAAGAAGGTTACTCTGGCTGCTTTTTATACAAAACATATACATGTTTACATTATTTGATATAGTTACATCATTTTTAAATATAAACATAGTTCTACTCAAATATGTTTCTATCTGTGTATGTTTGGGTATTTTTGCTAACAAGAAAATAAAATTTAAATCTAACAACTTAAAAAAAAATCAGCTGTGCATACATTAATTGGCATATATTAATTTGCATTCACTCATCTAATATTATTGCAGAAAAGTTGATTCAAGGAAAAATACAGAGATATAAATATACTTTTAAACAATATTACAAACTACTCATATACATATACAAACTTATTCATCCAGTTTTGTGAAAACCTTCCATTTCTCATCAAATAAATTAGTACATTTGTTTTTAACTGCTCTTTGTTTTTCAATTTTATACAAATTAATCCATACAGCTTTAAATTTGTTTAAATATAAAGGATTTTCTTTACATCTGGAACAGTATATTATAATATTTCAAATGACAAATTATTAAATTAATCATTTCACTTTCAGCACAACCAAACAAAAATATTTTCTTGTCAATTACAACATCTAATGAAAAAAAATCATTAAACCAAGCATAAACATTTGTTAAAAATGTATTTACTTCTACACATTCATAAAAGAGGTGTTCTAGTGTTTCACTTTCTCTATTACAAAAGCTGCATAAATCATCATCTATTTTCTTAATTTTTTTTCAAAAAGGTGTTTGTTGTTAAGATTTTATGATTTATTCTGTATTGCAACCACTGTAACCTTCTATCACTGGTCACATTAAAAACATTTAAGTTTATTCTTTCCCACTCTTGTTTTGATATTAAAAACTGCTGATCCCATTTTTTTTTGACCAGTGGGCTTTTCTCCACTATCATTTAGATTTCTGTATACTTTCTTATTTTCCTTATTATCCAATAGAAGAGGGATAATATGTAATGGAATAAAAGGTTCTTGTTCTTTATTTAAGTTTGTAACTGAGAAGTCTTTCATACATTTTTTAATTGCTTGTGTTACACTTAAAAATTCTAAAAAGTTTGTTTTTACATTTTTGTATACATTAATGAAACGTTGTAGGTCATAAACTTGCCCTCTTCATCCAACAACGAATTAACAGTATGAACGTTATTTTCAAACCATGATTTTATAAAAATAGATTTTTATTCACCTAAGATTTTCATTAAACCATAAAACATTTTTGCACATTTCTTTGGCCATTTTCTCCTTTTCATAACATGTACACAGCTGTTTCCATGATTTAAATACATCAATCCAAAACTGATTTTTATGCTTAACTTTCTGCAAACAATAACTTGGTCCAAATTTAATCAATCGCGAAATATCAATATCTGATCCAATAACTGACTGCCATTTGGCTTTAGCTTTGATTATTTTTTTATCCATGATATTTTCATACTTGCATTAAAATGTTCAACATTAACCATTTTCAATCCCCCTTTCACATATTCTTGAGTAACCACAGATTTTTTAATTTTAGAAACTGGGCTATTCCATAAAAATTCAAAAAAGATATGATTTAGTTTTTCAAAATTTTTTTTAGGTGGGGTTGGTAAGGATATAAACAAATGTACTATTTTTGACAAAGCTAGAGACTTAATGACTGTTATTCGTCCTAATGGTGTAAGATTCCTTCTTTTCCATTGATTTAATAAACTCTGAATGGACATTATTTTTGAGTTGTAGTTTGCTTTTAGCATTTGATCTAAGTCAACATTAAATTCTATTCCTAGAACTTGAAAGGATATACTTCCCCAAATCAGTTCTGTATTATTCATTAACTTTTCTTCACAGAACCTTTTACTACCAATCCAAATAAACCTGACTTTTAGTATAATTAACTTTTAAACCAGACAAATGTTTGAAATCATTAAGCTCCTGTAGAGTTATTTCTAAAGTTTTCATAGTTCCATCAAGAAAAAGGGAAGTGTCATCTGCAAATTGTGATATAAGATGCATTTCATCTCCAATTTTAATACCTTTAATTCTGTCGTTGCCTCTTAATTTTATTGCCAATATTTCTGCACATAATAAGAATAAATATGGGGATATTGGGTCTCCCTGTCTACAACCTCTTCCATTATTGAACCATCTTGATAAGTTACCACCTTGATTAATTGTTGTTGTAATATTCTTATAAAAAACCTGAACCAATTTTCTAATAGATTCTCCAAAATTGAAAAATTTCATTACTCTAAATAGGTAATCCCAAGACACTGTATCAAAAGCTTTTTCAAAGTCAATAAGAAGAATCATTCCAGGGATATTTTGGACTTGAGTATAATTCATAATATCATAAATCAATCTTGTGTTTTCTGATATATTTCTACCTGGTATAAAACCTGTTTGATCCCCGTGTATTATTTTTGGTAGGACAGATTTTATTCTACTAGCAATACATCCTGACCCAATTTTAAAAACTGTATTTAGTAATGAAATTGGTCTCCAATTCTTTAAGTACTGTTTTTGTTTATTTGGTTTTGGTAGACAAACAATTACTCCTTGTTTTTGCGTGACTGATAATTCTCCTATCTCATAAGCAAAGTTCAAAGACCTAACTACAAATTGGCCTAAGTCTTTCCAAAAAAACTTTAAAAATTCAGTAGTAAATCCGTCACTACCAGGACTGGTGTCATTATTCATTCTTTTCAGTGTTTCTGTTGCTTCTCTTAAAGTTATCTCCCCCTCTAATTTTGTACTTTCATTTAAAGATAGCTTATTGACTTTATCAAACACTTTATCTCTTTCCCATTCCCTTGTGTTTAATTCTGTATTTTTATTTTCGTATAATTTTTCATAATATTTACATATCTCCTCTAAAATATCTTCCTGATTCAAAATTATTTCATTATCTTCCTTTTCTATTCTTTGTATTATTTTATTTGTAAAGTTTCTTTTCTCTAGATTACAGAAATATTTAGTGGGCTTTTCTCCTTCATCAATCCATTTTGCCTTTGATCTTATCATTGCACCCTTTAATTTTTCTAATCTTAGTTTTTCTAATTCTTCCCTGGCCTCCTCTAAACTACATGTAGATCTTTCTATTTTGTTTGTACCTTCCTGTTCTTCAAGATTTTGTATAATATTTAATAACTCTGTTTCCCTGCAATTTTTACTTTTCTTCAAATAAGAAGAGTATGATATAGTTTGTACTTTTATCTCCATTAATAAAATCTCTAAAAATAATTGATCATTTATCTGTAAGCAAATTTCATTATCAGGGATGTGTACAACATTGTTTATCTCATAAACAGGTATCATATACTGTTGTTTAATATTAACAATTATTTTTTTTACTTTCTCGACATATTGTTTATCATACAAAAGTGAATTATAATTGAATTTCCATAGACCTTTACCTTTTTTGAAATCTTGTAATTTTAGTGAAAGGATTACTGGGGAATGATCTGATCTATAACTTGCATCCACAAAACATTCTTGTACGCTGCTAAGCAGGGAATTGGATACAAGAAAGTAATCTAACCTAGCCAACTTTATAGGATTTTTCCTTCTCCAAGTATACCTATATTTTTCTGGATATAATTCTCTAAAAATATCTACCATATCTAATTCCTCCATTGCTTTTAAAGTGGCATCTCTAGCATTGGGATTATTTATGTTATTTTCTTTATAATATTTACAATCTAGTTTGGGGTTCATAACAAAATTAAAATCACCACAAAATGTATAACTGTCATTTTCAAAATCTTGTGCTTTTTCAACTATGGTTTCAAAAAAATTAGGCGTGTCTTTATTTGGGCCATAAAGATTCATTAATGTTAATCTTTTATCTTGAATTGTAATGTCTAGAATAATATAGTTTCCATTGCAGTCCCTTTTTTCTCTATGTACCTCAAATTCAAATGTATTGTTAAATAATACAGCAACACCCCTTGCGTTTGATTCAAAGGAGCTAAAATAACATTTTTTGTATCCCCATTCATTTACTACAATATTATGTAGGTCTTCAACAAAATACGTATCTTGTAAACAATAGATATCACAATTTTTAGCTTTTAAAAATTTCAACACATCCTTTTTTTTCTTGATTACCCAAACCTTGGCAATTGAGTGACAAAACCTTTATCTCATTCATTGTACTTGAAATTATCACTTACATGGAAGTCAACTAAGGTTTGTAAATCCAGCCAGAGTAAGAAGAGAGAGAGAAAAAATAACAAAACATAAAAATGTGAAGAAAGCATTGGCTTTCAATTTAAAAGCTATATACCGGTTAAATATGGCATTTGATTTATATTACATGTACAAGTAAATAGAATTCCAAATTCAAAACAAAGAAAAAACGATGTGAGAAGATTATCTAGTACATTGTATATATAAAAATACCCCACTTGATCAGTTCTTCGAGGTTCTATTGGTAACTTTTCACGAAGTTTTAAAAGCGAACAGGACTAGTTAAAAGACATTGGATTTTATATGACTTGATTCCTAATCTGTCGTCAATTGGGATGGAGCATCGCCGTAAGGAAAAGTAAGACGTTTTAAGAACAGTAGCACGCTATCGTATGAATGCAGAAA